TTGGATATATCCAATAATAATTTTGTTTTTGATGTTTAAGAGACAATATCAGTTGCACTCTATTGCCAATTATCAGACAGAGGAAATTTTCAAAGATGCCAAATCATAAAAGAAAGCCTTCCTTAGAAAGTGTTTTAAATGTGATGAAACCAAGTAATGTAAAGGATAAAGAAGTAATTATTCGAAATGTCTGTTTCTAAAACTAAAAAGTAGGTATTAAATTATAAACTGCAGAAATGTAGCAGAATGTCTGTAATGTGACCTTTTAGTTCCCTTAATATAATTATATGTTTTACATACCCTCACATTGTCAGGTATTAATCTTGTAGAAAGGTTATGTTATTCAGAGGGGCTTTTGGAAAAACAAAATACTTTGGATTGCATACCCATTATATAATCTGAATTTTGTCTTCTTGTAGACCATAATATAGCTGCCTTGGTGCTTAGCGTTTTTCCACTTAGGCCTCTGCCATTGGGCTTTGAATTTAATTTGGGGAAAAGGCTTGATTTCGTGCACACGTGTATGAGAGAGAGAGAGAGAGAGAGAGAGAGAGAGAGAATGCACACATGTGCAAGAGACCATTTCACTTGGTGGCGTTTAACAGAGTTTGCTGCTACTCACAGTTTTTCGTCATTTTCATTTCAAATAACCCTCATGCCTTGGTAGGTTATGCACAGAGAATGCCTCCTTTGTAATACCTGTATGAGGATATTTCAAAAAGTTCATGGAAATTTTGAATTAAAATATAATACAAATCTTTCCATGAACTTTTTAAAGACCCCTTGAATTATGAAGCTTCTGAAAAAAACCATTATTTGCGTCTTGCAGATGAGGAAACTAAAGTGTTATACATTTAAATAACCTGCCCAGGGACTGCCAAATATTAAGCAGATGAGCTGATTTTCACACATCTGTCTTCCTGAGTACGAAGTTGTGCTTTTTCCACTTAAACCCTGCTTGGTTCATACACAATTCCTTCAATCTTGCAACCTGCTTGTAAGATGAAAATTAAATGACTTATGCACTGATTGTTCAGATGGAGAAACTAAAACAAAGTTGGAACAATTGGAAGTTAATTCTTTTCTAAGCACTGTGCTAAAGTGCTGGAGTTACAGTATTTAACCAGACATAGACTGAGCCCTATGGAGCTTGTAATATAAGTATTATACTGGATGTAATTTTTGCCTTGTACCTAGTATCTTTTGTTAGCTTTTGCTGCATAACATACCACCCCAAAACTCAGAGAGCTGAAAAGTTTTTCTGGTCTGCCAGCTCAGATGATCTGTGCTGGATTTTTTTTTTTTTTTTTTTTTTTTTGCATTCATAGTTAACAGGAGGATTAGTGGGGCAGCTGGGTGATCTAAGTTGGCCTTGCTTACACATCTGGTAATTGGTTAGGCTGTTGGCTGGGGTAATAAGGGAAACTAGGCTATGTATTTCTCACAGACAGGCTAGCCTATGCTTTTCACATGGCAACTAAACTCTAAGAACAGCAAGAGGGCATGGCATGCCTCAACACACAGGTGTTTTACATGCTTCTGTTTGTGTTGTGTTTACTAATGGCCCATTGGCCAAGCAAGTCACATAGCCAGGCCCAGAGTTAGTGTAAGAGGGTATACAAAAGCATGAGATGCAGGAAGGGGGAGAATTTGCTGCCATTTTTGCAACCTACCACTGTCAAGAACTATCAAGGATCTGGGATTTTACCGTACTTGCAAGCTAACTACTTAGCCTAGTAAAGTTTCATAGATGCTGGTATAAGACATGAGACTTCTAAGTCAGAAATGAAGGACAGTTTATTACTCAGCAACAGCAGTATCTGAGTCTCAGCACACTTGTACCTCTCTCCTGAGCCACAATTCTCACAGGATGACACAAAAAGGGCCAGGTTGTATTACTGCACACAGTGTGGGTTATGTAATAGAAGATCATTAAGAGCTTAGGGAACCGGAATCTTTTATAATGAGTAGTCAGGATGTCTGCCTTTTGCTCTGGAGGGAGACATTATTATACTGAAAAGTAAGTCTGCCTGTCCTTTGCACTGTGAAGAGACATTATACCTTCCAGGATTGTCAGAAAACCCGCCTTTTGCTCCAGAGGGAGATACCACTCTGTCTTCCGAGGCTGTTTCCTATCGGAACATCCTTGAAAAGAGAGTTCAGAACAAAGGACAGTTGCTGTCTCACTCATAATATATGCAGAAATGCAAGAGACCCATGGAGAATTGTCTCCCAACAGCCATATACCCTAACTCTAATTATGTTTGTTTTCCTTGTGTCTCATGCTATAGCACACTAAAACACCTGCAAACAATATTCTGTCTCAGTAATTTCTGTTTTTCATAACACTTATGTTGCCACACATTTTGTAAGTGCTTAGTAAATACTTGTTAAGTGAATGAAGAAATGTTTTCTAATTGTCATAGAATTCCATGTATATTTCAATTTTTAATATCCTAAACATAAAAAATATACAAATTATTAATGGATTTTTTTCCCTTCTAGTGTGGTGTGATCTGTTCAAGTTAATTAAGAACTTTGATGTAAAATACTCTGTGCTCTGACATCTGGCAGATTATTTTGAAGCTAAAGTAATTGTCGTTCTGATTCATGAAAGGGGGGCCTTAAGAGGGAAAAGGCACAAGCTTTAAAGTAAACTTTTTATTGGTCTGAGATTTAATACCAGCTTTTCTTGCTTAAAATATGAATGATGAATGATAGTTGAATACAAAGTACTATGACTTAATGTGGTCATCAGCATTTTAAAAGAAAGTATAAAAACACATTCTTTGGCCAATTAATAATGCTTTAAAAAAAAGGCTTAATTTCAGCAGTATGGGCATAGCATGGCCTTAGTCAAATTTTGTAACCAAGTCAGACCAGGGACTTGCTTTATAAAACTCGTAGGATGAAGAAAGAGATGAGCTTACAAGTCAGATCTGAGTTTGAATCCAACAGCAGGGACTGTATCTCTTTGTTCATCTTTGTCTCCCACAACGCTCGACAAATAGTTGGTGCTATTTTAATTAATGCTTTTCTGGTTATTCATTCTCTTCACTATCAATTTTATGAGCACAGACAAGTCATCTTACTTCTGTGAACCTGTATTATTTCATCTGTAGATTGC